AAAATCTTCTGGGGCGTTCTCCTGCCATAGAAACAAAATCCAGGTTAAAGTGAATAAAGAAGGAAAATGGAGAAGGGAATCAACAAAAGGAGGAAAATAAAGGCAGTTCTCTCTTATTTGAAAAAAAAAAAACAAATGGTCCACATTAATTTGCTCAGGAACCTGCAGAATTTCCAGCATACTGGAGATGCTGGGTGATATTTTGATCTAGAATAAACATCTAGGAAAGTTCATTGAATCCATGCAGAAGGCTATGTTGGTAAAACAGATTTTACTTATTACTGACAGAGCAAGCGTCCAAAACTTCAGAGGAAAAAAAAAAGGCAGGAGGGAGGGATAGGGGGAAAGGAAGAGAGAGGGAGGGAGGGAGAGGGAGAGAGGGGGAGAGAGAGAGAGAGAGAGAGAGAGAGATTGATTAATCATTGGGATGAGGAAGAGATTGGGGAAGGAGAAAGAGTGCACCAGGGGCTATTTTTCCAGAATTCTCCACTGGTGATCTAGAGTGCCCTTTATGCTCCCCTGAGATATAAATAGTATTCATTTCCTTTCTCAGACTAGACAGATTTTAATGCTTTGTTTCCTGGGACCAGGGGAGAGTAAAAAAAAAACAAACCTCAACACATCTCATTCTAAATGTCTAAATGTTAAGCTATTACAAAGCTGGATCACTGCAAATCAACCATTTGAAAACCACTTCAAAAAACCAAAAGGTGTTACCATTACCACTTTGTTAAATTAGCTTAGAATAGGCCCCCCACCCCCGTGTGAACTGTGTAGCTCAGGTCACTCAGGACACAGATGTAAGCTTCAAATATGCTAGCATGAGATGCACCTGAGTTCTTTACACAGTGATGGGGATGCGTACCAAGGCCTCCGTAGTATCCCCAGGCAGTTGCTAGGAAAGAAAGCACTTTCAGGGGGCCAGAGAGATAGTACGGTGGGTAAGGCACCCCATAAAGTCCCCGGAGCCCAGCCAGGAGTGATCCCTGAGCATAGAGCTAGGAGTAAGCCCTGAGTACAGACAGGTGTGGCAGAAACCACCACTCTCCCCAAAAGAGATGGTATAGGTGTAACCTGCTTGCCTTCAATGCAACTCACCCCATTTTAGATCCCCAGCACTTCCTATGGGTCTCCAAGTACCCCAGAGGGACACTCAATTCAGGGGCTGGAGATACTGTACAGTGGGTAGGGTGTTTGCCTTACATGCAGCTGATCTGTGTTCTATCCCTGACATCCTATATGGTCCTCTGAGCACTGCCACGTGTGATTCCTGAGTGCAGAGCCAAAAGTAACCCCTGAGCATTGCTGGGTGTGGGCCCCCCACCTGCAAAAAGGGTAGTTCACTCAACACAGAGCTAGGAATAGTCCTAGCACCACTGGTGTGGCCCAAAGCACCCCAAAACACACCAATTTTTTTTTTCTTTTTTGGTCACACCTGGCGATGCACAGGGGTTACTCCTGGCTCTGCACTCAGGAATCACCCCTGGCAGTGCTCAGGGGACCATATGGGATGCTGGGAATCGAACCTGGGTTGGCCGCGTGCAAGGCAAACGCCCTACCCGCTGTGCTATTGCTCCAGCCCCAACACACCAATTATTTTTAAGAAAGAAGGTAAGTGGAAAATCCCCCACCTACTACAGCTACTTGTCTGAGACCACTGTGAGGTCTGAGCAGCTCAAGAGAGCAAGAGAATCAGACAAACGGCTGCCAATCAATCAGAAGCATCACACCGCCCAACGCCAGCACCACTTAGCTCAGAGAAACCAGTGCTAGTCTGCAGAGACGGACTGCAATGTTAAAGCAGCTGCAGGGGGGTTCTGGAGCCAGCTCAAAGCGTGGGAGACAAGCCTGGTAGACAAAGGGCCTGGGTTCGACCCTCCACGGTAGAGCCTCCCAGGTATTTCTAGAGGAATCCCTGAAAGTGCTGGAGAAGCTCAAAAGAAGGCGGGGGGTGGGGGGACCTGAGGGAGGAAGAGCGTGTAAGACAAGCTGCAGGGAGATAGTTCAAAGGGCTGCAGTACATGCTTTGCGTACAGAAGACCCGGGTCCGATCCCTTGCACGGAATCCCTATATGTGCCCCCAAATTCCAAAATAACTAATTAAATGACAATAAAATTAGCCGCACTTTACGCATTTTAGTTTTCAGCTATAATCACTACCAAACTACTTAATCCAACACACCTGAATTCAGGGTCTGAGTGATAGTACAGCGATTGCCAGCATCCCACACCGTCCACCTGAGTACCACCAGGAGTAATTCCTGAGTGCAGAGCCAGGAGTTACCCCTGAGCATCACTGAGTGTGACCTCCCCCCCACACACACACACAAAAAAAGAGACCTACCCTTGAATTCAACAGAGACCATCAAAGAAAGGACATTTTGAGGAAAAGCTAACTTTGCTATCAAGGATAAGATATTTTCTTTCTCTTTAAAGGCAAAGGAGGAATGAAGAGCAAATTTACTAGTCCCCACAAGTACCTTGGCCTTCAAGCTCTTACTCATGACTTATCCCTTCAGGGCCACCGTCCTGCTAGGCCAGACCTAAACTCTGACATCTGTCTCTGGACAGTCAGTCTCCTCTGTCAGACCCTCAGCGACTCAGGGAGCCCGCAGAGCCTCCTGCTGCTCCCCAGACAGCTGGGCAGCAGGCTTGATCAGGTGCATGAAGGAAGGACCAAATGTACCACCTTTTCCCTTTCTGCCCCCAGGGTCCGGAAGTCCCAGAGGGGTCCAAGAGATCCTCCCATCTGTTGCAGACAAGGTGAGAAAGAGACAAACCAAACAAGACTTAGGGAATTGGAGCCATTTCTTCCTAAACGTAACATGAGCAACTACGTAGGTAACAGTAAGACTCCACTTAGTGTAGGTATTGCAATGGGGGAATCTTTTTTTGTTTGTTTGTTTGCAGTGTCAGAGATCGAACCCAAGACGCCAGGCAACCAAACCGAGTGCTCTACCGATACACTGCAACCCCCATCTGAAAAAATCATGTTTTAATGGGGAGAGGAGGATTTGGGGGCCACACCCAGCATATTCAGGGGTTACTCCTGGCTCTGTATTATGGGTCACTTCTGGAAGCACTCAAGTGAACAGGCAGTGGCAGGATTTAAACTGGGGCCAGCTACATCCAAAGTGTTTAAACACCTGAACTATTTCTTTGGTCCCCAACAAATCAGTTTTAACTAAAAGCAAAACCAAAACCTTAACAAGAATTCCTCACCAGCATGTGGTCAGTTTGGGGTGTTTGAAAGGAGAACAAAGATTCTGAGACTCTGGTACCGTCATTCCCAGGGGTGCTAAGTGGCTCAGAGCCTGTGTCCCTTTCCCTGGGCAGGGCAAACTCCTGTCGCCTGGTGCCGCCACGCTGGCTGAGAAGACAGGGGCCCCTGACCCGCTACCCCTCTTTCTGGTGCCACTTTGCCTGCTCTTCGGTGACAGTCTAGACCTGGCAGCCTTTTTTGGAGAGTGAGAGGCAGACAGAGTGTATGTTCTTCACCTCAGTCCTCCCCGTGGCAGCATCTCGTCCCAGAATGTCATGGAAATGGAAGCCACAGCTGCTCCAGGACCAGCACTTAACTATGCAGCGCCAAGGCATCCTCCCCCCCCACCCCACACACACCCGGGGACTGTATGAGCGAGCAACAGAAAAGCATCAGCAGCAAGGAAGTCCTTCGCTCGTCCGGTTTCCTCCCGCCTTATATGAAGTTGTGCAACGTGCTCTTTCCCGCCCCTCATAGTTTCCAAGCCTTGTAAGAGACTCTAGAGTGCTGGCCCCCGCTTTCCACAGCCACTCGGCAAGCTCTTCTCCTCTGGCAAAGAGCTGAGAAGAGGGGCACAAGTGGGTGCTAAGGTAACTGGAGGTACAACCAGGGAAAACAAAAACCAGAACACACCCAGGAGGGCCGGGGATGTGGATGCGGAAAAGCGCATGCCTTGCATGCATGAGATTGATCCCTGGCATCACAAACACACACACACACACAGAGATTGATCCCTGGCATCACAAACCACACACACACGAGATTGATCCCTGGCTCCCTTGCATCACAAGCCACACACACAAACACACACGAACACACACGAGACTGATCCCTGACTCCCTGGCATCACAAACCCCCCCCCCCCACACACACACACACACACGAGACTGATCCCTGGCTCCCTACATCACAAGCCACACATACACACACACACACACACACACACACACACCCATCAGGGAACTGTTGCCAAAAACCTAGGCACTGGCATAACAACCCCCCATACATACATACATACATACATACACACACACACACACACACACACACACACAGACTGATCCCTGGCATCACAAACCACACACACACACACACACACACACACGTTGTTGCAGAAAACTTAGCCGCTGGATGGACAACACAGTTCTACAGGTCCTCCCAAAGCACCAGACTGACCCCAATTTCAGCCCTGGGCCTCTCAACCTACAAAAGACGACCTCCTGCTCAACAATTGGCCTTTTGTGCTCCACAACACTCTCCACCAAGGGCAGCGTGGAAAAAACCCAGTCGCTTTCACCTGGAGCCTCGGGCCGGGCTCCTCTGCACACAGCCCCTCGGTGCCGGTGCCCGGGAGGGCCGCGCGGCCGGACCGCTCCGCTCGCACCAGCTCTCACCCCCGAAGCTTGGCCAGCGGGCACCTTCGCTCGGGACGCGCTCTGGGCAGAGCCGACCGAAGGAAGCTCAGGATGGAGAAACGGAGGCTCGGAGGGGAGCAGCGACTGGCCTCGGGGGGCGAGGCAGGAGCGGAGTTTCCCGAGCACCGCAGCCGCGGGTCTCTGGGCACCTCTGCACCGTCTGCACCCTCGGAACGTCCAACATTCCCACGCGACTGCAAAGCGCGCCACCGCCTCCGCCCGGTGCGTTGAGGGTCGACCCCCCACCCCCTGCTCTTCCAACGGCCGGGCCCGCCGCCTCCCTCCTCCCAAAGCCCCCGGCTAGCACTGCGCTCCGCGCCAACCTGCAGAGTCGCGCTCCCGGGACCCGGCGGCGGCAGACATTTCCCTGCGCGCTTCCTGCAGCTTCTCATCACAGGCACCGCGCCCGGGCCGCCCCGCCTGCAGGGGCCCGCCCCCACGTGCCATCTGCACCAATCGAGGGCCGGTGTGCTCGACAGCCCCGCCCCGCAGCCCAAATGGAGCCCGCCCCCTGCAGCCAGGGCTTCTCCAATCGCCACTGCCCGTCTCGAGACGGACTCCTGCGGCGACCAATCGTGGCGCCGCCCAGCTTAGTTTACCTGGGGCAGAGTTCCAAGTACGCGGCACTGGAGGCTCGGGCTCAGACTTCGCGCACCTGTAACGAGACAGCCACAGGAATTCGGGGTCTGGGGTCGTAGAGTCGAAGCCTGTGGCAGGAACAAAGAGGAAACACTGAACCATGCATGGGCTTGCAGAACCAGGTCCACCCTTCTGCATCAGTGGGAGCAAATGACTCCTTTCCGAACCGAACCTGTGTCTCTCACCCAAACGCTGGGTTTGAGATTCAATTTAAAATAAAAGAGGGGGCTGAATGATAGCGCAGCGTGTAGGGCGTTGGCCTTGCACGCGGCCCACCTGGGGTTGATCCCCCGGCATCCCAAATGGTCCCCCCGGAGCACCACAAGGAGTGATCCTGAGCGCAGAGTCAGGAGTAACCCCTGAGCATCGCAGGTGTGGCCCCCCGAAACTAAAACCAAATAATGATCATTATTATTAATTAATTACTTAACATGAGGACCAGAGAGCTAGCCTAGGGGGGTAAGGCACCTGACTTGCGTATGGCCGACCCCACTTTGTTATTGTTTTTGGGCTTGGGTACACATCAAGCGGTGTTCAGGGCTTACTCATGGCTCTGACTGAGCTCAGAGATTACTCTTGGCAGGCTCTGGGGACCATATGGGGTGCCAGGTTTCGAAAAGAAGTTGGTGGAGTACAAGGCTAGCACTGTACCTGCTGTACTATCGGTCCGGCCCCTTGCCAACCCCAGTTTGATCCCGGCACTGCATATAAACCCCAGAGAACAGTGAAGAGTGATCCCCTGAACACAGAGCCAGATGTGAGTCCTGAGTTCATGAGTGTGGCCCCAAAACAAACAAAAAGATTCTTCAAACATTGTGGTTGTGCAGTGTCTGCATGTCTAAAAAAAAAAATCTGTCACAACACACAGGTGTTCAGCCAACATCAGCTCATACTTTGTTGTTGTTGTTGTTCGTTATTCTTTTAGAAACACACCTGCAATGCTTGGGGTGGGGGTCATTTGCAGTGAGATGTTCAGGAGGGACTATAAACCAGGAACAGAACCCAGGGCACCCACATGCAAAGTATGTGCTCCAGGTCCCTGAGCCCTCTCTCCAACCATGGGTCTTTCATTTCTCTAACTTCTCTTAACCAAGACCTCTCCATTCCCCTGCTTTTTGTGCTACATAACGTTGTCCACCAAGATTGGCATGGGGGAAAAAAAACCTAGTTCCTTACACCTATCACTTCATCCTGGATCTAGTACCTTTATCAGTGACATGCAAGGTGATGATGGCTATCTAAGAGCCATCAGCACTGAGAGTCCAGCTCACCCAGGCCCCTCCCAGAGGAAGTCCACTGCAACCTAGTCATCAGAGAAGCTGAAAAGTTAGTGACATTTTCCTGCAGGTTACCCAGCAAGGAAGGACTTCCCGGCAGGAAGAGTAGATAAGGTGGTGTGAGACGGATTCCTAAATCTAAAAGAGGGAAGTCATTCTTGTCTGTCATCTTCATTCTCTCAGGCGAGCTCTGTTCATTCAACAAATATTTATTAAGTGCCTACTGCCTGCCAGATCCTGATGGAATTACTGGAGATAAAGTGGTGAATGCACCCTAAACTCACCGTCCCTTTGGCACCTCCTTCCCCATCAGTTTTCTCTCCTTAGCCTATTCTCCCTGCCTACCTCCAATCCTAGTCCCAGCCTCCTTTTCCAGCTGAGGCTGACTCAGGCTGGAGTTTCTGGGGTAGCCATGCTCAGGGACCATGAAGCCATACCCAGAACCCAACTTGGTTATGCCAAACCTCATTCTACTGTGGGCTTTTTTTGGGGGGGGGGGAAGCAGACTCTGGGCTCCATACAGTAGTGCTCAGGTCTTACTCCCTACCCTGCAATCAAGGATTATTCTGGACCATATATGTATGATACTGGGGATTTAACCTTGGTCAGTTTCATGCAAAGCAAGTGCCTTGCCTTTGCCATGGTACTTTCTTTTCCACCACCGTGTTCATTTTGGGGCTCAGTGACCACTCCTGCCTCTTTGCTGAGGGGAATTGGTTCCTGGAAGCGCTGCGGTGCTGGGAATTAAGCAAGGCTTCCCACATGCAAAGCATGCTCATTACTTTGCTTGTGTGCCAAGCACTCTGCCCTTTGAGCTATCTCTCCAGCCCAAGCTATCGCTCTTTTTTTCATGTCTGAACCACTGTGATACACTCCCTGTGATCTCCGGACTCTGGGTGCTTCCCTTCCTCCACAGCTGTCAGAGGAACTTCTCAAGCATGCCTTGTCATTCTTCAGTTCCAAACTCTATCAGCACCCCAAGAGTTGGAGGACAAAGTCCGATCTATTAGTTGTCTGGAAGTCTATTCCTAAGCTGCCTCCACTGGTCTCGGCCACCTCTACTGGCTCAGCTCTTTCCACGCCCTTCTCCTGCTCCAAAGTCAATTCCAAACACTTGTTCCTTCCGCCAGTTGCCCTTGGTGCCTGCATGGGGGACAACTCAGTCATTCTTCGGGTCCCAGTTTAAACATTACCTCCTGCCTAAAGTCGTCTCTGAGTTGATTATATGGTACAAGGTGGCATGAACTGAGGAGCACTAGAGCAAAACTTCAGAGCTCAGACTCTGGAGGAGTCAACCTTATTTCACGCTGATCCCTTCAGCAGGCATCCAACCTCTCCTAGCCTCAACTTTCTCCTCTGTTAAATGGTGATACTGCAGACCAGGGGAGAGTGTTCAAATGGCTGAACCCCTGTTTTGCATACCCGAGGCTGGGTTTGATCCCCAGTATCGCCTGGTCCCTGAGCACCACCAGGAGTGACCTCCAATCATGAACCCAGATGTTTCCCTTGAGCACGGCTGGTTCTGGCCCCCGCCAAAAAAACAAAACAAAAATCAAAAGTGGAGACATTCCTAGGACCAGAGCAACAGCACAGCAGGTAAGGCTATTGCCTTGCATGTGTCTGACCGGGTACAATCCTGGCACCCCTTAGAGTCCCCTGAGCACTATCAGGAGTGACCTGTGAGCACAAATTCCTGAGCACCTTTGCTGAGGGGGATCCTACTGCAGCCCCCCCACCATGCTCTATCCACCGCCCAATGGAGACATTGCTAATACCTGGCTTGTAAGGGTATGTAAGGATTGAACTGGTAAGTAGAAAATTCTCAGAAAGGTGTCCAACACATTACGTTAATATACACATTTGTTAAGTTGTTTGCCTGCTTATAAAGAAGGAGGAAACTTTTAGGTCCAACTATGTGCTGGGCACCGTCCCAGGTTATCTCATTTAATGCTTACAAACTCATGAGAAAAGCAGTGTTTTCCTAGGGCGGGGGTTTGGGAAGGTTCCCAAGAAAAGCTCTGGAGGCATCAGGCCACTGTGAGTGTTGCTCAGCAAAGCTGGCTGGGAATTTCTATGTTTGGGTCCATCAATACTGTGCTATTTGGACCCAGAGGTGCTGGGGGCCACCAGGGTCATGTCTTTTGGTACCAGGAATTAAACTCAGGACCTTACATATACAGCACATGTGCCCTGACTCCTAAGCTTTCTCCCTGGCCCCAGACAGTTTTCTTTTTTTTTTCCTGGTTAAACCTGACAATGCTCAGGTATTCTACACTCAGAAATTATTCCTGGTGATACTTCGGGGACCATATGGGATACCAGAAGTCAAATCTCGATCAGTTGCATGCAAGGCAAATGCCCCACCCACTGTACTATTGCTCCAGCATCCCCCCACCTCTGCCGAAAGTTTATAGGCCACACTGGGTGGTGTTCAGGGGCTACTCAACCTCTGTGTACAGGGGTCACTCCTGGCAGTGTTTACAAGACTGGATGTGGTGCTGGGATCAAAACACAACTGGCTTTGGGCAAAGCATACATCTTAACCACTGTGCTAGCTCTGTGGCTCCCGAAAGATATTGTTTTGTTTTTTTTGTTTTTGGGCCACACCTGGCAATGTTCAAGTGTTACTCCTGGCTCTGCACTCAAGAATTACTCCTGGAGGGCTCAGGGGACCATATCAGATACTGGGGATCAAACCCAAGTCGGCTGTATACAAGGCAAATGCCCTACCCTACCCACTGTACTATCACTCCAGCCCAAGAAGATGCTCTTTGTATAAAGAAGTTTACAGGGACCAGTGATGCAACTCAGTGGTAAAGCATATGGCTCACAGTTATGGGACCAGGATTTAATCCCTGGCACTCTGAAAACTTAAATTTAAAAAAAAATCTAGAAAACTAAGATGTGGCTTGCCCTAAGTCACATAGCTATTGACAAGCAAAGAGATATTTCAAATACTGTGTATCTTCAAAGCCTGCTTTTTGCTTTTATTACTATTAATATCCTTCTTATAACTACTACGACTAATCATAAAACAAGTTATCCTTAATACTTTGAGATTGAGAGGAAACTTCCCCTGCTGTTAGAATAAACTTTCACTCCCATAACTAGACATTGCTTGGTTTGTTTTTAGAGCCTTACTGGAGACTGGAAATTGTTCCTTAGTGATGTTCTGGAGACTATTCAGTGCCAGAGATCAAACCAGAGCTCATACATACAAAGCATGTCCTCGTCCCTTGAGCTATCACTCAGCCCAAGGCCCTATAATATTTTATACCCATCAGTACTCAGTGCTTACTCCTTGCTCTGTGCTCAGGGATCACTCCTGACAGGGCTCAAAGGACCATATGCAGTGCTGAGGATTGAACCTGGGCCAGCTGCCTGCAAGGCAAGCACTTAACTCTAGTACTATCTCTATAGTCCCCCAAGGCTCTATAAGTTTGCTTCTACTTCCTTCCCTGCCTACCCCCAAGCCCCCATACCTCAGTTTGCATTTCAGGTTAGTATCCTTTCTGACACCCAAGGAAAAACTAGTTTTAAGTTCCAAGCTGAGACCAATACAGAAGGGACATCCATTTCCCTTTCCCACGGAGAACAGTGGGGACACAGAAGGAAAAAAATGCCTGGGCCCCAGCACCTGGCAGCTAGAATTTGCATGTTCTGTGAGTCACCCCTCTGCTCTATACAAACTCTCCTTTATGGCCCTGGAGCTCTACTGATATAAACAAATTTAGCCCTAGACATCACTAGGCTCTCAGGCTGGACCAAAGTGAGACTATTTCACATGAGGGACAGAGCAGGACTCTAGGCTGGCCCAGCACACAGGACAGAGTGTCCTTGGTTCTAACCGGCAGAGAGAGGGATGATGATGCCAGAAGTTGCTGACCCTGCCAACTCATACGAAATTCTGTAGTAGAACCACAACCCACCCTATATGGCCCTGCTCTGGGTCTGGAGAGCAAAAAAAGTTACAGCTCAGATCCATGGGGGCGGAGCGATCGTATAGCAGGTAGGGTACTTGCCTTGAACACAGCCAAACTGGCTTCAATCCTTGGCATCCCATATTGTTCTTCAAGCCCTGCCAAGAGTGATCCCTGAGTGCAGAGCCAGGAATAAGCCCTAAACATTGCTGGGTATGCCCCCCCCCCCCCCCGCAGTAAATAAATAAATAAGCAGCTTTAGACCCAGAAATGGGAACGTTAAAAAAGCAAACACCATGGTTGGATCGCAGCCTGTGCCAGCAGCCTAAAGAGAGTAAGGAAACTTTGCAGAGAGTCCAAAGTTTGGCAATTAACAGAGTGGCTAGATCAGTTACCCAGCCCACCTGCTGAGAGTCAGGGAGTCTGGAGTCTTACCTGGACAAGCCCTGGCAACTTCCTGGAGGAATAGCCTGCTGTGTGACCCAAAGGGAAGCTGGAACAGGAGGCTGAGTTTTGCTGTGTCCAGCTGGACTGTCACATCTGAGCCTGCATAGATGAGGAAGAAACGAGCCCTTGGTCTCCAGGAGCTATGAACACAGATGCAACTTGACACTGGAATCCCCAGAATGGAGAATCAGCATCTAAGTGCCAAAGCCCTTGGGCCCTATAGAAATTCCTAAAGGCTGCTCCTAGGGAAATAACCCCTGACCCTTTGTTCCCAAGTCACACCACTCTCACTCTGCAAGGGAGGGGGCAGGATCTAGAAAAGTAGAGAGAGATGGTCCATCAGTGCACCTGACAGCGCTGTGTGTGCGCCAGGCACTGGGAGGAGCACTCCCCTGGCCAGTCAGTCTTCAGGGAGTTAGACTGTGGATGTGTGTTGTTCTTAGTATTACCCCAGCAGCCCCAGGCACGCAGCAAGCACCCAGGCTATGAGCTGAGCTCATGGAAGAGCAGGAGTCATATAGCAGACTGACTGAGAGTTCAAATTCAGAGTCTGAAATATGGTTCCACCCCTTTCCAAAAAAAAAACACTTCAAGGGGCCAGAGAAATAGTACAGCAGGAAGGACACAGGCAGGCCTAGCATGTGGTCGATCTAGGATCGATTCCTAGATCCACCTATGTCCCCACACCCCCACCCCCGAGCACCATCATGAGTGATTCCTGAGTGCAGAGCCAGGAGTAAGCCCTGTGTCCAATACGATGTGTCCCTCAAACAACCCCCCAAATCATTTCATTTATCTGGGCCTTAGATACATTTCCTATTAAACAGGAAATGGGGGATAAAAAGATAGTACAGGTCTCGCCTTGTGTGTCATCAGTCCCAGTTCAATTCCCAGAACCATATATGGTTCCCCAAACACTCAGGAGTGACCCTGAGCAGAGACAGCCAAGTGTGGCCCCAAATCCCCCCAAAGTTTTAAAAATAAATAAATATTAAATAAAACCCCTGGTGGTTGTGCTGTATGTGATCCCTGATATCACAAGCAACTTCTGGCCACACCACAGCCAGGTGTGTATAAGCACTGTGAAGGATGTGACTGCTAGCAAGCATCACAACTAAAATATGTGAAAGACCATGGCAAGCACCACAACGAAAGCTGTGCCAAGCTGGGTGAGCACGCGGCCGAGTGTGCCAGCCCTATAGAGGTCTGTGTGCAACTTCGATCGTCAAAAGCACATCAACGATGAAAGGAACCGGGAGCAGGGAATTTTAAAAGAAGGAAAAGGAAAGAAAACGAGTCAGGAAGTGGGTAGAGTGGGTAGGGCATTTGCCTTGCATGCACTTGATGCTGTTTCAGTCCCCAGCACCATGTATGGTACCCTGAGCACTACCAGGAGTGATCCCTGAGCACAGAGCAAGGTGTAAGCCATGAGCACCACCAAGTGTCCCCCCCAAAAACAAAAAAGATTCACTATTTCTACTACCACCACTATCACATGCCACCACCATCACCACCTATCACAACCACTACAACCACTATCTAATCACTATTGCTACCACCACTGCTACCACCAATACCACCACCACCATCACCGCCACCACCTGTCACTACCACTAAAGCAATTACAGAAGAGAGCAGGGAGGGACTAGAGAGAAGAGGGCGGGGCCAGAGCTCTGAGGAATCATATTACATACCCTAATTTACATAGATGATCCAACTGGTCATCCTCCAGTTCATCCACCAGGAAGCCCCTTTGCATCCTTATTTGCATATGGGCAGAAGACATCACTTCACATGCCCTTAAAAGGGAATGTGTGATCTTATTTGTCATCCCACAACCAACATTCTCATTTGCATACATATTAGATGGTTCTTCCAATCATATGATATGACCTTAGAGGGTATAATCAGTTAGAGAACACATTTTGCAGCTAAAAATAAACTCAGGTCACTGTGTAGAAAGAGCCTCTTCCCAGCAAGCTGCCAAAACAACAAACTGTTTCAGGTAGATAAATCTCTGGGCTAAAAACTCTGCCCTTTCCTGAGTGGGGTCTGGCAGATTCCCTTCCCTTTCAACTAGATCCAGCAGCCACCACACCCAACTTCTTCTGCATATAAACTGGCCCAGCAACACAGCTCTTGAAGCATGAGGCTGCATGCAGCCAAAAGGCAGCACGACATCCTCCAAATGTCACAGTGCTTAGAGCCCAGTAGAACAACAGCAAAGCAAATTTGATGGGAAAGTTGTGCCCACCAAGTTCAACGAGTGAAAATAATAACCCAGAAGGCTCAACCTGCACCAGCCAGCTCAGGAAGGAGATCCTTAGACGATGACTTGATGAACACTGTTGTGAGATTTAACAATGATTCATCACAAACTGACTTTTCTTTTCTGTTTTTAATTTGTTTATTTTTTGGTTTTGGACCACATTCGGCAGTGTTTAGAGATCATTCCTAGCAGGCTTACAGGATCATATGCAGTGTGGTGGAATCAAACCCAGGTTGGCTGCATACAAGCCAAATGCTCTACCCACTGTACTATTTCTCCAGTCCCTGATTGGTATTTTGATCATTCCGTTTGCCATTTTGTTGTAGCAAACAATATGAAGTAAATGTGTTAAGTGCAGCTAAGGGGGCAGGCTTCGGGGATGGGGTGGCAGGAAAACTGGGGACATTGGTGGAGGGAAGGCCCATCACAATCGTGATGAGAATGATTTCGAAACATTACATGCCTGAAACAACTTTTTTAATCACAAAGTTTATTATTTTATTACAATGAAATAAAAATAAGTCTCTCTCTCTATTTTTGCCCTTCTTCCCCCCTCAATGCTTCTGACCTTGTTGTCTATTTTCCTGCCTGCCTCGCCTGTACCCACTTGGGTGGTTAAACAGAATTGTTAAACAGAAGACTTATGGTGGTTGGCATGATAATCTTACATGCCATCCACAAGAATCCACAGCAGTTTACTATATGCTGCAACATCACCACCACGACTACTATAACCACCACTACAATCTTACAAAGAAGGTACACATTAAATAAGGCACTAGAACCAAATCGCTGCATAAGAAAAAGGAATGAGGGGCAAGAGCACTAATACAGCAGGTAGGGTGCTTGCACGCAGGCAGCTGACTCAGGTCTGATCCCCAGCACCTCCTATGGCTCCCCAGGTCCACCAGGAGTGAACCCTGAACACAGAGCCTGGAGTAAACCCTGAACACTGATGGGTATGGCCCCAAACAACAACAACAACGACAACAAAGGAAGGAGTATGAGTGAGATGCCAACATTCTCAAGAGTTCTATAAAGTCTTCCTGGTAAAAATAACGTGATATGTGGCCCTGAGGAGTAGGATTCATGAAAATGAAGAAGGAGTCTCAGGAGGAGGAGCCTACACAAGCATGTGCGAGGCTCATGATGCAAGGATGTTGGGTTCAAGGGGATGACAGGAGCGTCAGAAGACTCCAGGAATAGAGTGGGAGAAACTTGGGCCAGGCCAGAGAGGTACCCCCATATCCCACTCCTGCCCCGCACAACCAGCATCCCATGCTCTCAATCCATACTTCTCATTTCCCTGTAGATATGTCCCCCTGCCCCACGAGACCCCCAAATGAGAAGACCACTCACCTAGAATGTAGAGTTCACCCTCTGGGAGTACTGTGGGGAGAGAAGTAGAAAGGTCCTTAGCAACTGAGGCCTGAAGCCCCAGCATGGTCCCTGCACCCACAGCCCCACCCCCAGTAAGGGCAGAAAGGTCCGGAGGGCCCAGGAAAGAGCCACCTGCTCCCTCCCCTTTGGCACCTTCTTCCAGCATAAAATCCCGTGAGAGCGGCACTATCTGGTCCAGAGAGACGTCATCCCCGGTAATGGCCATCCTCCGGTGTGTATACAGGAAGAGACTAAAGACAGGAAGCAGAGGTGAGGACAGTGTCTGCTGGATGTCCCCAGGCCCCTGGTGGAGGCCTCAGGGTACTCCCTCCTTGTCCCTAGGCAACGCTGTTGGAATCCAATGAGGTACGCCTTTTGCAGCTATCCTGCCACTTTGCTCTCTGTCCGTGTGTGCATCAGATACTGTAAGGTCAGGGAGAAGGCATCAAAGCTGCTCTTGTCTTAACTGGTGCAGGCCCTGTTTGTTGAAAGATTGAAGGCTTAGACCAAAGTGATACTACAAAGGGTGCTTGCCGTGCACATGGCCGACGCCAGTGCTATCTCTGACACAGTACATGATCCCTGAGCACTGCCAGAAATGATCCCTGAGCACAGAGCCAGAGGTAAGTCCTGAGAACTGCCGGGTGTGCCCCCAATCAAACAGACAAAAATAAAATGCAGGGCTGGAGAGATAGCACAGCGGGTAGGGTGTTTGCCTTGCACGCGGCCGACCCAGGTTCGATTCCCAGCATCCCATATGGTCCCCTGAGCACCGCCAGGGGTAATTCCTGAGTGCAGGAGCCAGGAGTAGCCCCTGTGCATCGCCAGGTGTGACCCAAAAAGCAAATAATAATAATAATAATAATAAAATAAAATGCAGGCTACAGGCTTGAGTACAAGTCAGCTCTGTCTTCAACCAAGCAGGATAACCTCAAGCCTTGTGTTTTCTGACCCTCAGATTCTTTATCTGAAAAGCAAGAGGCCCCCTTCCACCCAACTTTAAGACTCTAGGGATCATCCTCTGGCTCTGAGAACTTTGACAAATTTTATCTATTCTCTCTGCTTCTCTTAAGCCTGTATATGTGACACTGAGCTTTTTCTATGCATTTTCATGTTGGAAAAACATTACACGTAACAACTCACTTTATTTTAACTTTTGAGAGAACCACACCCGGCAGTGGCAGTGGAGTAGGGGATAGGAGTTGGGGATTGAAAGTTGGGGGTGTCTACGTTCGGCTCCCTCTGGGGTTGCTCCTAGCAGTGTTCGGAGTTAAAAACGGATTGAACATGGGCCTCCCCATGCAAAAATGCGCTCTGTCCATTGAGGGATCTTCCCAACCCTTACAACTCACTTTCTTTTTTTAATTTTTGGCTTTTGGGTCACAGATGGTGACGCTCGGGGCTTATTCCTGGCTCTGCACTCAGAAATTACGCCTGGAAGTGCTTGAGGGACCATATGAAATGCCATGGATTGAAGGCATTGGTTGGTCACATTCAAGGCAAGCACCCTACCCGCTGTACTATCACGCTGGCCCCCAACTCCTCTCTTTAATCAGAAATCTGGACCTAGAGAAGAAAAAAAAAGTCACTTGATCATGTAACTCAGAAGTAACAAGCCCAGATTTGAATCCTGACCCTTAGGCTACGGGAGTGAGACCTGCACCTGTGTGTTCAAATGCCTGCCCGCGAGAACTTCCTCACGGACCTTTGCAGGTTCTTGGAGCCCACACAGATGCACAGCATAGAGCACCGTAATTAATAACAGTATAATCATTGCAATTCTTCTAGAAGACTCAGAATCTGTCAGAAAGACAAGGTAGAAACCCAACTGGAAGGTCCAGTGAAGGCTAGCCCATAGCCAGTGAGGTAAGGCAGAACCCCAGACTTACGCATGCTCCTGGCCACCGAGCTCCCCGCGGGAGCGCACCAGCCCCAGGAGGCGGCTCTGCCGGCTGTTGCCCTCACACAGCACAGCTTGCACCGCCTGCTGCTCAGGGTCAAGGGAAACCAGAAGGACACCCTAACCACAGGCCAGGCCTCCCCTACCAGCACACCCCCTCCCGCCTTCCGCTTCTCTTACCCACACAGATTCTCAGTGTGATATTGGCAGGTAGCAGCCCTCTTGAAGCCCTCCCCATCTTAGCTGAATAAGCCCTGACTTCATGGGAGGCTGGGAGGACAGATGTGGCAGGGAGGTCAGAACCAAGTAAGCACTTGTGAGTTCTGTGGCAGCACAGAGAAAGGAGGAGAGCAGGCTGACAGAAAGCACCTTCCATTCCACCTCCCAAGGCCCGGGCAGAGTGAAAGCTGGCCGGTGTTGGTAAGGATATGATGACACAATACTCCGCTGGGTCCAGGGTCTCCTGGATGGCCACAGACTGGTCCATGCTGGCCCCGTGGAGTAGACACAATCTGCGGGAGGGCAGAGTGGAGTGAGCCAGTTACCCGGGAGGGGATGGCACTGCCAGAGAACTGGGTCAGGATGGGAAGCAGTCAGGGCCAAGGGTGCCCATTCTCCCCAGCTCCATCCCACAACAGACTTCATGCTGTGCTGTGCTGGGGAGGAGTCTGGCTCTGCCCTGGGGGATGCACAATTTGTGTCTGGGAGGACACTGGTAGGGAGGCCCAATAGGTTAATTGGGAGTGGGATGCCGGTCCATTACTCTAGAGGGGGCCCAGCATGAAGCTCTCCTTCCTTTCTGGGGTGCAGCTGGTCCTGCCAGTGCCTCCCTGGGAGCGTTGAGGAGCATCTGCAATCTGCTGAGGTTGTTGAAACATCCTGGTACACTCAGGAAGGACCTCAGCCCGGGACCCTGCGCCTGCTCTTGAAGACATAAAGAGTGTCCCTTTGCTTCTTGTGGTCCCCAGACCCCACCTCCAAGCAGGCCCCATTGCATCAGCCACAGGTCCAGGGAGGGGATTCTGGTTCTGACAGCCACAGGCCAGGGGTCCCATCCCTCAGCTGTCCATTCCCTCCTACCCTCCCCAGCCAGGCTTCCCTGCTCTGCAACCTGCTCCCAGCCCCTACCATTTGCGCCTACCTCCTGAGCTGTCAGCGCTGAGGCCCGCGGGACACTGGCGTCCCGGGACGGCCAGTGACTACATTTCCCAGCAGGCTCCGCGCCGCAGGCCTGCAAGTCCCGGCATGCCCGCGCCCATGGGGGGCGTGTCTCCCCGCCCTATTAACTCCTTAGGGTCTGGGAGACTTTGGACTCCCTTGTCTAGAAAGATTTGTGTCCAGCCTATCCTGACCTCCACCGGCTTGGGGCCAGAAAGGAACGTGGTCACGTGGGTCTTAAGGGAAAAACAATGCATTTGCAAGTCCTCTGTGCTCAGCTCCTCCCACTCCCGTGGGACCCTCTCTGACCGCGACTGGAAGGCTCCCTCCCAAAATAACAGCCCTGTCCCAGCTTCAAGGAAAACAGCACTATGATGACCCCTTCCCCTTGGGGGTTTCTGGAATAAAGGGGGGGGGGCCTCCTGGAATAAAGCAATTCGATCATGGCAAAGCTGGCCGGCGATTGAAAGTCTGGCCTGACTTCTGTACCCTGACAGTGCTAGGGCCGCCTCCCTCCTCTGCATGTATCCCAGTTGCCACACCTCAGGGTAAAGGCAGGGAAGGGCCACTGGGCTGGGCGGCAGAGCTGAGAAACGTGGCCTGTGGCTGAACTTTATGATCTCAGGACTCCACCCACCAAGCTGAGGCCAGGAAATGTCTGAGAAGGGGAGGATTCCCCCTCAAAACTGAAGATTCTGCCCCAGATGGAAACCAGGGCCATAAAGAGAAGCCGGTTCAGGAGTCCTCTCGGCTGCCACGTCTGCTTAAGCTTGGAGCCACTTAGTCATCTGCCTCTTTCTTCCCCCCTGTCCACGGAGGTTGTGCCACTTTACCTCTAGTTCTGCGGAACCAGCTTCATCTGGCACATAGGCATGGGAAAATAAATACATAGATGTGAATGTAAGATGCACAAAGGCGGTTGTTGTTGCCACAGGGAAGGTCCAAGTTTCCCCTGGGCTGTTCGCAGGATAGTGGCACTAGTCAGGGCTGCTCAGTCCTAGTGGGCGTCCTTCCAGTTTTTTTGTTGTTTTTTGGCTCACATCTGGTGATGCTCAGGGGTTACCTCTGGCTCTACACTCAGGAATTATTCCTGACGATGCTCCAAGGACCATATGGGATGCCAGAGATCAAACCCAAGCGGGCCGCATGCATGGCAAACACCCTACCTGCTGTATCATCATTCTGGCCCCACATCCCTCCACACTGTGAAGTCCTGGTTCCTACTTCTAGAGGAACTCTGGAGAATGGGGCAGCTGGAGGCTGCACATGTTCCGGCACTGGGAAGCTAGCTTTCTGGACGGAAGCTAGAAGGTCTCTTCCCTACATTTCCCATTCCCAAGGCCATATTCAACAGTCTCCCCAATGGCGATATCTCCTTGGCTCTGGGCTAGAGTCTAGCTATCATTGTTTTCAGTCAGTTCAATTAAGCCTAATTATCCACTCTGAGCCACTCAGGCCCTGGAGAGGTTTGTAACTGGGATGTTATGCAATTGAAAGCACCAAAGTGCAGCGGAATTCGAGGAGCTAACCAAGGAGTGGGTTTAACTACGAAGGAAAGTATCACTCCAGAATGAGAAGGGTGGTGAAATCCTAATGCCACAGAGCTGGCTGGGAGTTAGGGATAGGCTGTGCTTCAAAGCTGGGCTTAGTACAGTTGGCATCTTACAACCCAATCAAAGGTCTGAGTGCTGAGGGGCCAAAGGAGGCCACAGAAAAAGTTTGTTCTGAAGTAGCTGCCTCCAGAGGGCTGTGCCTGTGGGCAGACTGGTACCTCGATAGCACCCTTAGTCTTTTCCATTTGTGATACCAGATCTAGATCCTGAGGAAGTTGCTAAACTCCACTCAAATCTTGACCATCTGGGCTGAGTGAACACAGAAAGAGCCACTTTCAGAATCAGTCTCACAGCAGGTAGATGGAATGGCCGGATCTGCTCTGAACAGGCGAAGTTACTGCCGGTTCTCAATCTGGGAAAGGCTGCTGAGGTCTGAGGTAGAGGCAGGGTACAGGCCCATTCCAAACAAACCTAACTCCTTTCTTAATGCAGATAAAAAAAACAAAAGCAAATCTTAGATAATATACTGGTGATATGTCTGCCTTACATGCAGTTCATGCAGTTGACCCTGGTTCAATCCTCTGCTCCTCAAGCAGAGGACTGAAGAGGTGACCTACCTCTGAGCAGAGCCAGAGTATGCACTGAGTGGGCTGGAGAGAAATAGAGATTCAGGTTCTTGCCATGCCATGTGAACGATCCCGATTTGATCTCTGGCACTACCTGAGAAATGCTAGGAGTAAGCCCTGAGCACCACTGGGTGTGGCCTAACCCCCCACACCAAATAAACAAACAAACAAAACACCACACATACACACAACCAAGAACAGAAAAAAAAAAGAATAAACCCAGAGCACAGCTGGGTGTGGCCCAAACTACCTCTCCCTCCCAAACCACCACCACTGCAAGCCTCCCCCCGCCCCCCCCAAAAAAAACCCAAAACAAATCTTTGTCACAACTTTGTCCTCAGAGGAGGCCCTAGCTCAGATTTTCAGTACATGCTTGAAAAGCTGATTCAACTCAGGGCTGGGATTATCCCAGGGTGATATTCACTTGGTGGGGAAGACATGGTTAGATTTACATAACAGAATATAGGTAACTCAAGAGTTGACACTGAAGTTTGTGAGAAAAGGTAGTGAGGCATTAAGACCTACAGGATTGCTTGCTTGGTTCGTAATCCAGGGCATCAGAACAAGATAATGAGAACAGGGCTGGTTTTATTTTCTGACAGAATCTTTTTTAATATAAAATGAAGATAAAACACATCTCAACCCTGTGATCTCCCAGCATGCCTTGTTTTTACAAGATGCATGCTAGCTACAAGACTACACAGCGAAGAGTCTTTAGGAGCATTTGGTGGGAGAAATAGAAAAAGCAGACCCTAGGGGCAGCCCCAAAGCTGGGATACATCCTGGAACACTAGAGCAGTCCTTGTCTTTTCAGATCCTCATATGTCTTCTTATTCACAACATTACCACTGGAGTCTTCGTACTCTTCCTAAAAGGGGAGGGAATACTGTTAGTGACACCTCTTGGGAAAAGCACTGAGAACCAAACTCTAGGTACCTGAGCACACCCTTGCGTGATCTGGTTCATAATCTCATGCCATGAGACTGGCGTTCACCTAGTCATCCAGATGGTACCAATTATGATAGAAACTTGGGATGGATGAGAAAACAGTTCACTCAAATCAGTTTCTGTATTTATGATGAAAAACTCCGGCCGAGGGGCCAGAGTGATAATATAGCAGATAGGGCACGTGCTTTGCATGCGTGCAACCTGGGTTCAGTTCCTGATATCCTATATGGTTTCCTGAAGCCATCATAAGTAATTTTTGAGTGCAGTGTCAGGAGTAACCCCTGAGCATCACCAGGCATAACCCCAAAGCAAAAACAAACAAAAAACAAAACTGGCTGAGGGAGGGAGAGATGGTGCAGCTGGTACTCCAGCTTGATCCCTGGCACTACCTATGGTCCCCTGAGCAGCACCAGGAGCAATGCTTGAGCATACGGCCAGGAATAGTCCCTGAGCACTGCCGGATGTGGCTTAAAAACCAGAAGCAGCAGCAGCAGCAACAACAAGAAAACAAAAACTAAAAAACCCTGCTTGAGCGAAGGCTGACCTAAGACAATCTATTTCAAATGGCTCCCAAGAGACCCAGGTCTCTCCACTTTCAGAGCAGCTGTGCTCTATTTTCATTTCTGTATACAAGTAGGAACCCACAGAAGGCTCTGGTTTGATGCCCAGCACCACACAATTCCCAAGCACCACTGGGAAAGTACTCCTCATCAGATAAATTAAAAAAAAAAAGCTTTGCTGCTAAAAAGGAACACTGAAATATTTGGGATGACATCTCAAGTCCAAGGTCACCTCATAATCTCAGGAGAGGATTCTCTTTCATTACACTCTCTTCCAGGGACTGCTAACTGATTCAGATTTTCATGTTAGCATTCTCAAAACAGGATAGACACTGGATATTCCTGCTTGTCATTTCCCTTTTTGGGCCACACCCAGTGATACTCAGGGATTCACATGGGATGCCATGGATTGAGCCCAGGTCTGCCGTATGCAAGGCAAGCGCATTACTCACTGCACTCTCTCCAGTCCCCGTTTCACATTTTTTTTTTTCCCCTTTTTGAGTCACACCCGGCGTTCCACTGGGGTTACTCCTGACTCTGCACTCAGGAATCACTCCTGGCAGTGCTTGGGGGACCATATGGGATGCTGGGAATCAAACCCGGGTCGGCCGCGTACAAGGCAAACACCCTACCCGCTGTGCTATCTCTCCAGCACCCATTTTACATTTTCAATGGGAGAATACAACCAATTGTACACAGATTTAAGATCTGACATGTTAACAACATCCTAAATAAACTGTCAAAAAGGCAGTTCCTAGAAATTGTCACATTGTACTTGTTGGGCAGGCAAACCCTTCTATGTGGAGAGGGAATGGTCACTGGAGGCTCTCCTGGATGTATGCCAGCACCCACCTCCGTGTCAGGCTGCCATCGTTCCGATGCCTTCTGGAGTTTCAGCTTGGCCCACACTGCAGGAGAAATGAGAGGCAATCAGGACTGACTAGTCTTCTCAGACCATGTGGTATTACAACATGTGGCATTACATCCCCATTAGAAGTCCCCTGGATGCTCCTGATTTTGACATTTCTGCCTGTCACAGTCCCGAATTTCAAATCTGGAACAGTAGGTAAGAAAAATTCATCAACTCTTTTCTCTGCTGTACAGTTTGGATGAAATATAACCAAGGACCACTCAGAGAATGAAAATGCTTGAAGAATAAACTTAATAATGGTACAAGAATTCTGACTTCAACAACAAATTACCATCCAATTAAGAAGAAAAGGTGAAGACATCTACAGGAACTACCATTCTTCTGAGCAGATTTCACTTTTTTGGAGTACATGCATACGCAAGAGAGGATGGATATCAGATGGTATTAGGAAATACTCTCAGAACAAGCGGCTACCTGGAACAAACAGGACAGGCCCAGTG